AGGAATGGGGAGTTATTTTTTAATAGGTACATATTTTGTATTTTTCATAACAAAAATGATCTGCAAATAGGTAATGCTTATGATTGCACAACAATGTGAATATACTTATTGCCACTAAGTTGTACCCTTAAAAATGCTTAAAATAATTAATTTTATGTTATGGTATATTTCTCCCAATTTAAAATTCTAAAAAAAAAATAAATATAATACACCTCAATAGTATGAAGAAAAATGAAATAAAACCATGATTATCTCAAATGACACAATAAAGGCACGTGACAAAATCCAAAACCCTTTCATGATTAAAAAAAAAAAAAACAGTCAACAAACTAGAAACAGAAGAGAACTTCCTCAACAAGATAAGAGACATATATGAAAAAATATCAGAGCTAAACTCATATTCAGTAGTGAAACACTGAAAGATTTTTCTACAAGAGTAAGAGGGCCATAATATCCCCTCTTACTATTTCCATTCGACATCGTACTAGAGGTACTAGCCAGGGCAATCAAGGAAGGGAAAAAAAGGCATATAGATTAGATATGAAAATGTAAGGCTATCTCTATTTGCAGATGATAAAATTTTATATAGAGATAATCCTAAAGAATCCATTAATATCTATTAGAACTCTTAAAAGAATTCAGTCAAGTTTCAGGATATGCTACAGATTACCCAGATCTATATGCTAATGCCTAATCTCCAATGTGATGATATTTGGAAGTGGGGCTGTTCAAAGATGATTAGGTCATGAGGGTACAACCCTCATCAATAGGATTAGTGCTCTTATAAGAGTTCAGAGAGCTAGATCGCTCTCTGCCACGTGAGGGTACAATGAGAAGATAGCTATCTGCAACCAGGAAAAGGGCCTATCCATAGAAACCAAATTGGCCAGCACCTTTATCTTGGATTTCCCAGCCTTCAAAACTGTGAGAAATAAGTGTTTATTTTTTAAGCCACCCATTCTATGATAATTTGTTATAACAGCTTGAACTAAGACAGTATAGACTATCAGTGCCCCAAAATCATGAGGACTCAATCCCATAAGACTTCCCCCACACCTCAGATACTAAATCACAAGTTCTGTGTTGTGACCTGTATTTCTGACAGATAGGGTATAAATTGAGGTTCCCATGACCCCCTCCTAGGGTTTAATTAATTTGTTAGAGCAGCTCACAGGACTCAATGAAACACTTTGCTTATATGAATATTTACCCATTTATTGTAAAGAATATTACAAAGAATGAACAGCCATATGGAAGAGATGCATTAGACAAGGTATGTGGGAATGGGCAGGGAGCTTCCGTGCCCTGTTAAAATGAGTCATCCTTCAGGAACTTCCAGGTGTTCAGGTATCTGGAAACTCTCTGAACCTTGTCATTTGGGATTTTTATGAAAGCTTCATTACATAGACATCATAAGCCACTGGTGATCAATTCAAGTTTCAACCTTCTCCCCTCCAACCTTCTATTCATACACTGATATTTCTAGTGAACAGCTCAGCCCCCATCTCGAAGCAATCTAGGGTCCCCCAATCATCAGTCATCTCATTAGCATACAAAAGACACTCTTCTCACTCATTATGTTCCAAGGGTTTTAGGAGCCGTATGCCAGGAAAGGGGAACAAAAATCAAATATACATTTCACAATATCACAGTAAACAATTTTATTTATGATAGCATCAAAAAGAATAAAATACCTTAGAAATAAATTTACTACACAAACTACACAGCATTGCTGAAAGAATTTACAGAAGACCTAAATAAATTGAAGGATATCCAGTGTTCATGGGAAACTGTGTTTGTGGATTGGAAGACATAGCATTGTTGAGAGGACAATATTCCCTAACTTTATCTACAGATTCAGTCCAATCTTAATCAAAATCTCACACTTTTGTGTTAAATCACACTTCCTTATTTCAAAACATACTACATAGCTATAGTAATAGCAAAAAATATGGTTCTGGTATAAGGATGGACATATATAGAGCAGTGACATAGAATTAAGAGTCCAGAAATAAGCCCATACATCTATGGTAAGTTTATTTTAAACAAGTGTGCCAAGACAATTAAATGGGCACAAAATTGTCCCTTTAACAAAAGGTGCTGAGACAAATGGATATCCATGTGTAAAAGAATGAATTTGGTCCCCTTTGTCACACCATATACAATAATTAACTCAAATGGATCAAAGATATAAATATAAGAGCTAAAAACATAACATAAAATTCTCACAAGAAAGCATAGGGGTACATCTTCATGGCATTGGATTTGGCAATGTTTTGTTAGATATGACTCCAAAAACACAAGCAATAAACAAAAACATATGTGAACTAAAATAAAATCTTATGCCCTCTCCCCCAGCTGACTGAATGGACCACCTCTTGGCCAAAGGAATACCATAAAACTTAGTTACTGGCCATTAGAAGGGAGGTCAGATATGTCTCATCATGCCCCCTCCTTTGTTGTAGATATCTTTTGTAGCTCATTAACAGGCATAAGGCTATCCAAGACAAACCTGCAGGTTCTCAGTTTACATAACAAATAACTTGAGTCTGGACAGCAGCTTGTGTCTTATTGACAGACTTCCTTACCTTAACTTAAATCTAGTGCAACCTCTGTGGAAAGCAATATGGAGATATCTTAAAGAGATACAAGTAGAAGTACCATTCGATCCAGCAATCCCATTACTGGGCATCTACCCAAAAGACCAAATGATACTGTATAAGAAAGACACCTGCACCCGAATGTTTATAGCAGCACAATTCACAATTGCAAAGATGTGGAAACAACCCAAGTGTCCATCAATACATGAGTGGATTAATAAAATGTGATATATGTATACCATGGAGTACTATTCATCTTTAAGAAACAATGGTGATATAGCACCTCTTGTATACTCCTGGATAGAGCTGGAACGCATTCTACTAAGTGAGGTATCCCAAGAATGGAAAGACAAGCACCACATGTACTCACCATCAAATTGGTTTCACTGACCAACACCTAAGTGCACATATAAGAATAACTTCTATTGGATGAGGGGGAGGGGGGAGGGGGGAGGAGAGGACAGGTATATGCATACACAAAGAGTGCAATGCGCACCACCTGAAGGATGGATATATTTGAAACTCGGACTTAGGGGGGGAGTGGGGGACAAGGGCAACATACGTAACCTAAACATCTGTACCCCCATAATGTGCTGAAATAAAAAAAAAAACATTCCAAGCCTTTAGACAAAGCTTCATTTCTTTAACCACTTACAAATCAAAGAGTCTTTAAGCCCACCTATAAGCTGCAAGCCCCCACTTTCAGATATCCCAACTTTTCAGGTCAAAGCAACATATGCCTTCCACGTATTGATCTAAGACTTTACATGTAATTCGTTTCTCCCTGAAATGTATAAAACCAAACTAACCCAATCACAGCGAGTAGACTTGCTCAAGGCTTTTTGGGCATGGCTCCAGGCCATGGTACTCAAATTTGACTCAGAATAAACCTCTTTAAATTATTTTACAGATTTTTTCTTCTTTTCTGTTGACACAAACATAAATTGGACTTTATCAAATTTAAAACTTTCGCACATCAAAACACTGTCAAAAAAGTGAGAAGACATCCCACAGAATGAGAGATAATAATTTCAAATCATATTTCTGCTAAGATTATCCTACCCAGAATTTAAAAAGAGCAATTAACAACTCAGCAACAAACAATTCAATTAAAATTGGATAAAAAACATGAATCAACATTTCTCCAAAGGTACGCAAATGTTCAACAAGTACACAAAAAAGATGTTCACCATCATTAGCTATTAGGGAAATGCAAATTAAAACCACAATGAGATACCATTTCACATCCACTAGAATGGCTGTAATGATAAAAATGGTTGAATCACTTCTAAAATAAGTCTTTCTCTGAAGAGTTATGATCTCACAATGTTGAAATAATAAATTCTTATTATAATTAGAGCAATTGTTCTGATTATAAGTTTGGTGTCTAAGTTATTTATTCTGTTCAAGTGAACAGATTGATAACTCATGTGCAAACACAATTTATAAACATTAAAAAAATCTAAAAGTCTGAAGACAGGAGAGAATGGTAAAAAGTATGAAAAAAAGACTTTGTGCTGAATTTTTATGAAGCTACTACAAAACATGTTTTCAGAAAATATCTAAAAACCCAAGCAAATGCTTACTCTATATGGAAAAGGGCAGGACATGAAATTGCATATACATAATTATCCCAGTTCTGTCTCTAGTTTTGGACTATACAAAAAAAAAACTACCTTAGCTTTGTATAAGCTTAGAAAAATGCAAGGGAATAATGAGTGTTTAACATTTTGCTGTGAACCCTGGGAAATGGGAGGTGGGCTTACAGTTTATTTTCTAATCATGTCAAGTTTTTTATTTTTACTAAATGTCCACATTGTGCATGCAATTCGTTTGCAACTGAGGGAAAAGATTTTTTAAAAAGAAAGAAAAAATTCCTCAGGAAGTAAATGGAAGGACAAGTCAGTAAAAATTATGTAGATTGGGTCAAAATGGCAGACTGAACACTGAGCAATAGCGCATTTCTCTCATCCTACCCCAAATCCCCTTCAATGACAGGAAAGGCAAGTTTTTATACATAAAGAATAACCCCATAAGGGCATGGCGGAAGAGGAAAGGGAGAATTCTTGGAAAATGGAAAGCATATGGGGAACGGGTGCTAAGAGGGTGAGGGTGGAGGTGGAGGTGGAGGTGGGGGTGGGAGCGGACAGTTGGAGGGGGGCGGTACTGAACTGGAGGAGGTGAATCTAGGCTGTATGAGAGAGGTGGTTGTGGGCCCTACTTCTCCCGATTTGGGGGAAGAGGCGGGGCTTCCCCTGCCCAGGGCTGTGAGGCTAGTTGGTGGGGGGTGGCGGAGGAGGAGCGTCGCTGTGTTTGGCAGGAAGGGGAGGCCTCTCTCCTGGCAGGCCGCTGCGCTAGGAAAAGAGGGAGGAGACTGCGGCGGCGGCAGCGGCTAGTGGGAGTCCGATGTGGCACCGGGGCCGCTGCCGCCGACAGGGAGGTGGAGGGCTCAGGATCCAAGCGCTGGAGACGCCGCCGCGGTCCTCTTTGCCTGCCCTGCCGCCCTCCTGGACACACTCCTCGCCTACAGACCGTCCTCACCCAGCTTTTGCAAGCACCCGGCTGGACGCCTGCTCATCTTCCTTCGCCACAGAGTCACTGCGGAGGCAGCGGCGAGGTGTCCGATTTGGGCACGTGAGGCCAGGGATCCGGGACGGTGGGGAACGTGATAGTGTTGGACTCAGTGCGAGGGGAATGGGGGAATGCCTCCTGTTTCTTCGACCTAACCGCAGCTTCCTTGCTCTAGCATAGCGGAACCGAGCTGGGGAGGAAGGTTAATGCAGGCACACAGCCTTGATTTCCAGCTTTGCTATGTAGCTTTCGGGAAAAACAGGCGTGGGTGCACGGGGTGAGCTGATAAGGAGAAAAAGCGCACCGTGTTTCATGCATTGAATTTATTTTTTCTTAATTTCCTTTTTCGATCCACCTGGTGAATGTGCTCCTCACAGGCATGAAGACCCCATTTGGAAAGGCGGCTGCAGGACAGCGGTCCAGAACAGGCACAGGACACGCTAGCGTGTCTGTTACCGTGATGAAGAGAAAGGCAGCACACAAGAAACATAGGAGCAGACCCACCTCCCAGCCTCGGAGAAATATAGTAGGCTGCAGAATTCAGCACGGATGGAAAGATGGAGATGAACCTCTTACACAGTGGAAGGGAACCGTTCTGGATCAGGTACCTGTAAATCCCTCTCTGTATCTTATCAAATATGATGGATTTGACTGTGTTTATGGATTAGAACTGCACAGAGATGAAAGAGTATCATCGCTTGAAGTCCTTCCTAATAGAGTTGCATCATCTAGAATCAGTGACACACATTTAGCAGAAATCATGATTGGCAAAGCAGTGGAACATATTTTTGAGACAGAGGAAGGTTCCAAAAATGAATGGAGGGGGATGGTCTTAGCTCAGGCACCTGTCATGAACACATGGTTTTACATTACCTATGAGAAAGATCCTGTATTATACATGTACCAGCTCTTAGATGATTATAAAGACGGTGATCTCCGCATCCTTCAAGATTCTAATGATTCTCCTGCCACAGAAAGGGAGCCAGGAGAAGTCGTAGACAGCCTAGTAGGCAAACAGGTGGAATATGCCAAAGATGATGGCTCCAAGAGAACTGGCATGGTCATTCATCAGGTAGAAGCAAAACCCTCTGTGTACTTCATCAAATTTGATGATGATTTCCATATCTATGTCTACGATTTGGTAAAAACATCTTAGAAGTCATCTTGAAATTTGCCAAACATATAAGACTGTAAAATCTGTAGACACAAAAAATCTTGATTGCTTTCCAGTTTGTAAGAACCATCTTCTACCTTTTTGCACGTTTTTGCCTGGCAAAAAAATGGGACTTCCGCCCTCTCAGATGTTTTCAAAAGAAACCTGTTGCCCTTCTCTCCAACCTTTTCACTGGTTCTGGTTCCTCCTCACAGGAGAATGATTGAATTCACTGATTAGTGAGAAGGGTAAAGTCTGACATCCATTGGCCCATACTTTTATCTTGGGTGGTGTTAATAGGTTCAACGTAGCTGAACAGCTCTCAGCTCACTCTTTTTGGCACTTGGACTCATTGAGCTGAGAAGCTTCCTGAGATATCCCATGTGACTGGCTGGGTAAATGTCTTTGCAATCTCTAATCCCTCTCCCCCACCCCAGGTGGCTTCAAAAGTCTAACTTGGGGAGGAGCGTAAATCCCATTTTGGTCTCCTGTTCAAGTTGCATTCTCAATTATAACTATAACTGTACTAAAAGTAAGGCTGATATTTTGTTCCCTTTTTGAGTCTTGCACCTATTACTCAACTGGTTCAGAAATGAGAGTAATTACTTTACATTTTAGTATATAAGCATAGTCTGAGAAACCTTACAAAATTGGTAAGAAGACAAACATTTACAGACCAAACTCCAAGTGGAGTGACTAAGATTTCTGGTGGAGCTTAATGGAAGGTTTTGGTCATCAATGACATTAGTGTCTCTGTTGTCTGCAATAGCTACGGCTAGTATCTGCAGACATGGAGTGAGTTTTAACAGATGCAGGCTGTACAGGCAGACTTTAGCACAAGTGGGCTTTGCCAGCCAGTAGAACATTAAGCCGGGCTCTAGTTGGAGTCCTCGGTCACAATGCAAAAGCTAGGTTTAGCAAGAGTTGACAAGTTTGTCCAGAACCTCAAAATGGAAGAAAAGAACTCTGGAATCAGAATGAGATATAGATTTCTTTCCTATACCAAGAGAGACTTTTTCAAAAGTTTTAGATTAGGTTTTAGATTTGATTCTTAGAAGACTTCAGAATACACAAGGAGTGCAATGCGCACCACCCGAAGGATGGACATATTTGAAACACGGACTTGGGGGGGGACCAAGGGCAACATACATAACCTAAACATCTGTACCCCCATAATATGCTGAAATAAAAGAAAAGGAAAAAAAAAGAATTCCAGAATATGAAGTGGGCAAGGCACTTGCTAGAAACAGGAAAGACTGAAAATAGATTTTGCTTCCTTGCAGGGACAGGTGCACTCATCTATTACAGTGTCCCAGTAGGACTGTGGAACACAATAAGTGTTAGATAATCTATAGTCTCAATGATGTTTTCAGTGCCGGCATTGGTAGATAGAAATCTAATAGATTTTTGGTAGTGTTTTCATTTTCAACTCAATTTTGATTCTTGGCTGGTTCTGAGAAACTCATGTGCAGTTAAGGGTGAGCCCTAGTTTGTCAGAAAAGAAGCAATGGAAGGGACCTTGTACATTCCATTATTAAAGGCATTAGTGAAGGTTAACCAAAGCCTAGGAAAGAAACGTTAAAAAATAACCAAGGTTTTGGAGAGAAACACCTGGCCAAAGCCAATGCCTTCTCATTGATGTTCTGACAGAAGTTCCATTAGCAGTAACAGGCTAAGAAGGCCTTGGACTTCTGCACATTTGGGGCTGGGACTCATGGCAATACAATCAACCACTTGGGAGATATCTTCCAAATTAGTTTAAGTTCACAGGTCATGGAGTCCAGACTACTGGCAGAAACAGACTTGCATCCTGCTGAGGATGAAACCAAGAAGATATTCTCTTTTCTCCCATGTTTTCTCTGTCTACTTTCCTTCTTTTTGATGCCACTAGTTCTCTGCTGTGATATTTGACTGACAACAGTGAGGTGGGTCTGTATTGCCCTATGTACTAAGTCCTGGGGGCGTAAATTTGCTTGGGAAAACTGTTCTGGTGGCTGGAAATTAGTGTACTTTTTAATTTTTTGGATGTGAGGCTGATACTGTGATAATCTTATGTCTTATTGACCCTTTGGACTCTTAAAAAATGTGTAACATGCAATTGTGGGGTTAGATTAATTCAGCTCCTGAGGTCCTGAAGGAACTACACCCAATCAAGAGGAAGACAGCCAGGCTGCAGCTGCTGAAGGAACCCTATATCTTCCCAGACATCTTTATGAAATCTGTATGGCTGAAATAAGAAAAACAAGAAATTGGGAAAGGCAGAATTTTGGACTTTAATTCTTTGGACTTTAAATTAGAAATTTAATTTGGGGCATTTATTTTTTCCTTGGAGTTTAATATTTGGTGGGAAGCGGGGTCATATATTCAAATTAAGGAAGTTTCATTATGTTGCTGATATTGTATTCTTTGGAGTATTTTAATGGTGTCTTTGGGGATCATTATATAATTATTGTAAGCTATGTCAGGTAATATGGCTGGGCATAATTGTAAATTGGGGATAAAATAGTGAATGAATTTTCAGCCTAGGGTATAAGATAGCCTTGGAATTCATTTAATTACTGCCATATTCTGACTCATTTCAGAGCCTTTTGGGGACAAAAGCAGAACTGCTCACCAATCTTGCACAGATGGTAGCAGAACTTTCCTAGGTCACTGCTTGTCTCACCAGAAGGGGATAGCCACAGCCCTCTTTGTTGACTAGAGTCTTGAGTGTTAACCACTGTGGCTTGAAAGAACAAAATTGCCCAAGAGTATGATGGGATCTATCATCTGCCTCTCTCCATGTTCCTGACTCAAGAAAAAAAAAAAAAGACTTGCATCTCTCAAAAATATTTGGAAGAAAGTTTCTACCCATCTTGTCTTGCCACTCATTCAATCTTATGCGTGGGATGAGGAATAGCTTGATGAGATTGAGAAAGGGGTTGTAATGGATAGGCAGGCTAGGCCCCTTTTGACTCTTGACCTCATTCCACACAGCAAGATGTGGAAAAGACTGAAGTCCTTCACTACATGGCTGGGTAAACATCTGCTCTGTAGACGTAACTCTCCCGTTGAGATGCGGGATCCCAAAGTCCTTAGACTTGAGGTAGAAATTCATTTCAGCCTCAGGTCCAAGCCATGTTCTCCAACCTAGTGCTATCAGCTATAAAGCTAGTGTCTATTTTTATTCTTTTTTTAATTTTAATATATAAATTGTTTTTAAGAAAAATAACACATGCCTATGGTAAAATTCAAACAGTACAAAGGATATACAATAAAAAGTAGGTCTCTTTTCCTCCTTCCCACCTCTGGCCTCAGTCCGCCAGTCCTGCTTTCCAAAGGTAACCACTGTTACCAGTTACTTATGTATCCTTCCAGAGATACTCCATGTATTTACAAGCATATCGTGTATGGGTATGTGTGTATATTAGGTTTTTTTTACACAAGTGGTGGCATACTATACATGCTGTTCTGAATTTTGCTTTTTTCACTTAACAATATATTAAAGCTGATATTTTAATCCCTATTTGATTCTTGTGTATATTTTTTAATTGGTTCAGAATCTGGAAGGGAAGGAGGTATGATTAATTCAAGCCTTCAAACCCTAACCCAGTTTAATGAAAATTACATGACCCTACAAACCCAAAATTTCTGCCAGTCAAATTTTTCTTACTAGTAGAATATGAAATATATGTGAACAGGATATATTTTGTGAAAAGAACTCTTTGAGAGAGGCCAGTATATTTTTATTGAGGGAAATTAAAGGGAAAAATCAACTATACATTGAAGCTGTGGGAAAAGTTAATGTACTGTAATCAGTAATCCAAAAATAAAATGAACGATCATTTTTTTTCTATTCAAAACTTGCATTCACATCTATTGCCATATGCAAATTTATGCTAATAGTTTTGATTTACCTTTTCTAACAGAACTTCCCTGCATGCAACAGGAAACCCATTTCAAACACGTTTAAACAGTTACCAAATATCATTGATCCATATAACTAAAAAAAATATGCACAGGTCAGATGGGCTTCAGGCATAGTTTGAATTGGGGCTCAGGCTCGATGTCTGTGATTCTTTAGGATTTTCCCTCTGTGTATCAGTTTTATTCTCATGCTACGTTGCCTTATAGCCAAATTGGACCAGCAGTTATAGGCTTCATCAGTCCAGTCTAGAGAAAGATAGATACCCTATGTCCTATGATGCATTCTCAACTGGCTTAAGTCATACCCCCGGATTAATCACTGAAATCCCCTGGATGAAATACACTGGATTGGCTTAGCAAGGTCATATGCTCCATCCCTGAACCCTAGGGCATATCTCTCTGGAACCAAATGGATTCCCAGTAAAATCAAGGCCTTTTAGGAAATGAAGAAGGAATGCTATGAACCAATCACAAATATGTAGTATACCTTCTTCTTCTGAGTACTTAGCATCCTTGAACACCTTTCTTTCCACACATTCACTTTCAAAAATGCCCACACCGACATGTAATGAATTTATGTCCCCACAGGGGAAAAACCTAAAGTCTTACCCAATTGTTGTATTTAGCATTAAGTTCAGGATCTCTAGTTGATATGCAGCCATCTTAAGATCCATCTTCCTAGCAGTCTGGTCACTTATAGTTAAATTATATACTACCCTTCACCTGAACATATCCAATATACACTGATGCAGAGATAACCAGAGACATATAATAAAACTACTATTTGAAAAAGGGAGGAAATAGGAAACAATACACAGTAGTTTCTGGTCCAAAGCACATATGATAACCTGTTAGACAAGGACTCCCTGTCCTGGCAGATGAACGAGTCCTCTGGTCAGATAGCCTCTTTTTGTTTTCTGGGAGGGTTGCCCTTGGAGGCATATTTTGGGTGGATGCCCTTCCTGGGGACTGAACAGCTTTACCAGTCTACTTCATTTTATGCCATTTCTGGTGCCTGGAGGTTGAACAATCACAATGTTTTGTTGTTGGCCATGATTAGAGTGTCTTTAGTACAGTAGTTCTCCAACTTTAGCACA